TTTTAATTTATGTTCTACTTGTCCAAAATGTGTGTTTTCTTCTGATCCTTTTTCTACCTCCCCTCTTTCCCCCCCACCATGGTGAACAAAATATCATTTTTGATCCTGGACTAAGCAATTACTTGAACTATCAGCTCCATTGTTGTGAGCTTGTACAGTGCCCAGTACAATGGGGCTGGCTCCTATAGACCTTACCACAATACAAATAGTAAATAATGAGGCGTTGGCACAAGATCTTGTACAACCTATTCTGTTTTAAGTGCAGAGCCTTAGGCCTGAAAAAACGGGCATGTGAATACCTGTAGTGTGCATTTACCACCTCAGTGCAAACAGTGCTTATTAACTACAGGAACAGCTTACTAGAAGCTTTTTTGCACATCAGGCTCCTTATCTTGCTTCTCTGAGTTATGTCTCTAATGGCAGCCTTGAAAGTGACAGGCCATACTCAGTTACCGCGTAGGCAGCGAGGCTGAAAAGTGCTATGCACTTAGTGGGGGTTAAGCACTTTGTCCAGCATGCAATTGCTTGTAATTTAAGCAGTAGGTAACAAATGGGGACTGGCACTGTGTACAGTTAAGTGAATAGCCCACTTACCCAGTATTCATGCGGGAGAATACTGTATTCCCTGTTGCTGCTTCCTTACAAACATGCGGGGTCTAGTCCTGCGCAGCATCTCCAGAAGGTGAGTCACAGAAGATGCACCCCAGGCGAGGAGGATGGGCAGTGAAGAATGTATACCTTATTTCTGCTTCCTGGATTTGGGGATTTTCCTGGGGACAAAATGAATAATAGCATAAGCTGAAGCAGCTGTCACTTGGTAAAATACATGGCAGCCCACCCTAGGATGTTTTTGGTTTGTCACACAAGATATAACCCCCAGAAAGTCATGCAGTAGATGGTGGATCAGTGCAGGGGTTATACAGGCTTACCTGGCCTGTATAACCCCTGCACTGAGGGCTGTGAAGGGAGGAGCATTGTATTAAGAACATTAGAAGTGCCATACTGGCTCAGACCAATGGTCCATCCAGCCCAGTGACAGAAGTAGATGGAGAGCACTAAATTGGATATCTCTAGAATAATCTATCCCCTATTCAAATTCCCCCTAGCATCCACCATTATTGGTTTAGAAATGCCAGAGGAAACATCTCCAACCATTCTGTTCAGTAGCCATTAATTGATCTACCGTCCATGCATTTATTTGGTCCTTTTTTGAACCAGGCTATGTTGTCTGCCTCCTCCACCTACTGTGGCAATTAATTCCACAATTTAATTATGTATTGCATAAAAATGTACTTTCTCTTGTTGTTTCAAACCTTTTTCCTACAAATTTCAATGGGTGGCCCCTAGTTCTAGTATTCGGTGACTTTGGTAAATAATAGTTCCCTGTTCATGTGGTCCACACCGTTCATGATTGTGTAGACCTCTATTATACCCACCCTCAGCCTTCTCCTTTCCAAACTGAAGAGTCCTAGCCTTTTAGTCTCTTCTGATGTGGCAGTTGCTTCGTGCCCCTGATCACTTTGGCTGCCCTTCTCTGTACCTTTTCTAATTCTACTTTTTGAGATGTGGGGACCAGAACTGCACACAATATTCAAGACGTGGACGAACCATGGATTTGTATAATGGCCTGATAATGTTCTCCATTTTGTTTTCAGTCCTATTCTTAATGATGCCCAACATTTTATTGGCTTTTTTGGTCGCCACTGCACATTGAGCTGATGTTTTTAGAGAACTATCTGCAATGACTCCAAGGTCTCTTTCCTGAGTCATAACGGCTAGCTCAGAACCCAGCTATATGTATGTAAAGTTTAGGTTATTTTTCCTCAGGTGCATTACCTTGCATTTATTGACACTGATGTTCATCTGCCATTTTTTGCCCACTTACCTGGCTTGGTGAGATCTTACTGCAGCTCCTCTCCATCAGCTTCAGGTATCAGGTTTTTCCCAGTATAACTATATTTAAATAAGGCTTTGCCAGTATAAAAGATCATGTCTTATTGGGATCACTCTACTGGCCAAGGCAAATGGGTCAATCTGCAGAATTGCGTGGATCATCAGGCTATCTCCTGGTTAAATTTTCGTCTGGTTCAGGGCTCTGTTCTTCAGCATGCAATGTGTTGGCTTGATTTGGCAACTTCTCTGCCTTCTGTACACACATAACAATACCAGTTGTTTCTTGCCATTAACTGCAGTTCATTGCAGCTGAAACACTTGCATTGAAACACATTCCATTCACTTCACTCCTTATTTTAGATCATGCCTTTAAGAAACACATATGAAGTGAGACTTTCCAGCTCCTCATATTTTATACAGATATCTCCTCTTCCTGCTGTCTTTCGAAGGTTTTAACGGTGTGTCCACAGCCAGCCAGTTCATAAGACCCCCATCAATTTATTGTTTTCATTTCTTTGTCTGCTTCTATTACCTTCTCTTTTCCTAAAGGTTATGAGAGTTGGGATGTTTGGGGTAAGGATTTAATTTTATGTTAAAGATGAAATGGAGAAGTTTTTAAGAGAGAGAACAAATATAGTAAGAAAATTAAAATGGGATGCTGCTGCTATTGTTAGAGCGGGAGGAAAATGAGGCTTTTCTTATGATATGTGAAGATGGCCTGAGAACTCTATCTGTCTAGCTAGCTAGCTAGGTAGCTAGCTAGTGATATAGATAAAGATATAGATTCATATTGTTTTTCAACTTTAGAATCATCAGAAATATCAGCTCTTTTATCCTTTTGCTGGAGTTCTCTCTGAAGGAGTGGAGAACTGGGCTAGCAGCCTTCTCAGACATTAAGAGAAAGGACAGTGGTGCTGAATTTTTAAGCCATGATGTTTTCTTTCAACTGTTTCTTCTATTTATGAACTGAATTGAATAAACAATAGATTTGTAAATTATCTGAACAGAAATTGAGATAATGGTGGTTCAATGGTTTAGGTTTCACCTGCTTTGTACCTTTGATGTCAACATCTTACTGGTTCCTCATCATCCATTAAAATAGTTCAGACAAAAAAAAGTGGATAGGGCCTGAACATTTAATGTTGGAAAAAAAAAAAAGAAGGAATCCAGGCATCTTTATGCATCACAGATACAGAAGTCAGGGCAAATATTTCTTTATTTCTTTCGCAGGTCACCTCTAAGAGTTTTAAGGGAATTCTGCCAGTGAAAGTATCCACCCTTTCACTTCGAAATGTCAAACGAATGGTTCATTATTCATTTTCCATGCTGCTCACTTAGCTTTTCTCTTGAGTTTACAAAGAGAAGGCTGCTGCTTTGATTTCTGTTTTATCACCAGTCACAGACAGTTCAGTTTGTCTCATTTTTTCACCAGCGGGTTTCAATGTTTTTTAACTGTAAAAATTTTCCAGGAGCACAAGATCCTAAAGTATTTGCTAAATTCTAGAAATGCCATGTCTCTGTTTACCTGCCACTTAAGAAGTAACCACATATTTACATTGGCAATTAGGAGCAACTTTCTGATGGAAGGTGGTTAAGCATTGGAATAGGCTACCTAGAGAAACTGGAATCTCCATCCTTGGAAAATTTCAGAAGCAGGTTAGATAGACACTTGGATGGGGATGGCTTTAGTCAGGGATGATCCTGCCTTGAGCAGGGGGCTGGACTAGATGACCTTGTAGCGTCCCTTCTGACCCTACTTTCATATGATCCCATTTGGTGGTTACCACTGCCAAAACTTTTAGGGCTAAATTTAGTTCTAATATGGAAATATTTACAACATATAAACACACATTGTGTTATAGACTGCATTTATATTACATTACATTGCATTACATTAATATTAAAACTAGTATACTCAACAACTAATGCTCAAAAACATGGTCACAACTTTATTTTGATGTTAAGGTGACTAGCTCCAAGTTTGGGTGAGCCTCCAGATTTATATTGATGGTTATATTGCTGTGAATCTGAAGCAACTCCACTTCAGACTTCAATGGAGTTACTCTACATCAGTCACTGGCACAGTGGATGTCAGGTGTGTCCCTTTATATTCTGCCACAGGGGTGTTCAAGTCATCTGGTCTTGTGGGTTGGATGAGGGTCTGTTGGCTAGATCAGGACCACATACTGGAGCCAGCTGGCAGGGCCACACGTGCAGCTCTGTAGTGGCTCCCCTGTGCTGTGTGCAGTGTGTGGCTGATCCAGCCCCATGTCCTTAATGAAGTATATGCTGGCCCTGCTTCAGGGTTTTACTGTATATGGTACTTACACTGGACCGGCCCTGTGCGCTGGTTCTGGGGGTGGTCCAGATTGAATCCTGGGCCCTCTGTGCGCACCAGAACTAATGTGCAGGGTCAGTCTGGCAGGCTGTCATATACAGCGCATGCACCTTGCCTACTCACTGCGCCCTGTACAGAGTGAGTCCACCAGACCAGCTCAGCTCGGCATGTGGGGTTGGTCTAAGAACCACAGGCTGGGTCATAGGGCTCCATTTCAGTGATATATAGTTTTAGTCCTTCTTGCAAACTGACTTTTGAAATACTAGTTGTACTAAATTTTGTTACCTTGTATAAAAATTCCTGGTTGGTATCCCATGATCTCTGTCTTTCTGTACTTAGACTGTCCCTTCTGGTATGTCTGGAAAATATTTATCACATTGTGGGTATTAGCCAGACAAATAATAAATCACAACTTTTTCAATCTCTTATTTTAAAATTGAATGAAGAGTATGTACGGCATATTTTGATTATGATATGACATCTGCTTATATCTGCTGGGTGAATGAATAGGCATGTGAAAGCATGACCTATCTGAGGATTTACCCTTTTTCCTGTGTTTCATGTTTGCACAGTTTTTTCTGCACTTTAGAACACTTGGTCTTCTAAAAGGATGTTCCCTTGCCTTTTAATGTCTGTGTTTCCCATGTGCTTATTCATGTAACTGTCTTGTTAACAGAGTGAGATTCCTTGGGAGGGTTCTGGTATAGGACTGTAACAGCATGAAAAAATAAGAACTGGTAAACTAAGGTTTGATGTGGTTTTTTTTCAGCTCCTGAAGAAAAAGAGGCAATTAAAGGGCAATATGAAAAGCTCATGGATGCCTATGGTTGCTTGGGGGAGCTCCAGCTAAAATGTGGTAAGTAGCCATTGGGCTAGGCATAGTGATAAAATACTCGGACAAGCTTTTGTGCAAAATGATTGAGTTTGTCTGATTTTATTTAAGTGATGAAGGACATTTGGACCGCATCCAGACGAGTATGGCCATTTGTTTCCCTGGGGACAAGTAGCAGTGGCACAATGTGTGCTGCTGCTACTAGTCCCCAGGGAATGCCTGTGCCATGCACGCTTTTGCGTGTGGCAGGTTGCCCCGGGTGAAGTAGGGGAGGCTTAGGCCAGCAACTGTAGATCTCCCAGGTGAAAGGGCTGCAAGGTAGCAGCACGGGGCACACCTGAGTGTGCATTGTGGCACCACAGACAGGTCTGCAGCACCACATACCGCATGTCTGTGCTTGTCTAGACATGGCCTTTGGTCTTGTTAAAAAGATATACTACCTACACAAGCCATATTTATGTGCTGTGTTTGTGATTAAAAACACACTGTCCAGTAACATCTTTGGATTTTGTTTTTTAGCTTCTTTAACTTCAAGGGACTGTGTTAGCAGCTTGAATGTAATTCTTATCTTAACAGTTGTTGTCTTGAAAACCTCCAAGGTTGTAGAATCTCCATCCTTGGAAGTTTTTAAGACCCGACTAGAAAAAGTGTTGCCTGGCATGAGATAGCTGGGGATAGTCCTGCTTTGAGCAAGGGGTTGGAGTAGATCAGTAGTTCTCAACCTTTTTTATGTCCAGACCCATTTGTAAACATCGATGTCCAGTCCCGACCTAGTGTCCCTCACTCCTGACCTGCTGCCTCCCACCGCCCGGCCCGGCGCAGCCCCCACAATGTGTGGGGCAGGGGGTGGGTGTGTGGGACGGGGCAAGGGGGCCCCAAGCAGCCCCTCACAGGCTGGAACTCTGCCAGCCTGGAAAGGAAAAGGCACAGTTTCCCATGATTGTCTCCTTTAAAAGAGAATATATTTTTAAAGATCGTTTGCGACCCTTTCATATATTCTTGCAACCTACCTTTGGGTCACGACCCATGGGTTGAGAAATGCTAGACTAGGTGACCTCCTGAGGTCCATTCCAACCTTAATTCCTTCAAGCCCTAATTTTCTGTGATTCTGTGTTCTTTCCTACCAGTTTTGTCCAGGGGAAATGCTGGTTCCCCATGGCTTCTGAAAGAGCTAGTTTTAGGAATGATTGGTTGTGACTAATCAAGGCCCAGTCTTACAACTACCTATTACTTGCATGAAAGTTCCACTGGCTTCAAGTGAGCTGTTCTGCTGCATAAGTGTTTGCAGTATCAGGGCTTTTAACTTCAACAAGCATTAGTCCATAGCAGAATAGTGTTGTTCCTCAACATTGCTATATGTTTTCATATACTTTTGGAAATCTTTGATTTACTAAAGTTGGTACTTCTGCTGCGCTGTCTGCAGAAGTATAAAAGGAATTTTTGTTGTGCTATATGAAGAGAGCCTGAAATGACATTTAATACCTTTTAGAACTGGGCCCAGTAAAAAGTATGCTTTAATTCAATGATTAAAAAGGTAGGCTAACCACAAATATTTAAGTCAATTTATATGCTTTTAAAACTTGCCACATTTACAAGTTTTGAGACTGAAATTCTCTTTGCACTGCCTGTAAAAACTCTCCCCTGCCACTGCTTTGGCAGTGTGCCTCAAACTTAACTTGTAGGTGTGAGGATATTTCATTTTCCACTTCAGTTCAATCATTAGGCCTCTTTGACGATACTGCCAACAACAGCACTAAACACGGTGGAGGAGTGATGATTGGTGCACTAGGTACCTGTATGAGACTATGTAACTTGTTTCTCATAGACCACTAAGGCTACGTATAGACAGTCAAAAAGCCTGAGGCTGATTTGATTCAATCTTCACACGTTAGTCTCAACTGCATAGACTGAATTGACAAACAAGTGAACAGACATTCACTTTTGATTCCAGAAAGGCAGCCACATGCCTTGAGTGGCCCAGGCCAAATGCTGGGGTGTGCTAGAGCACACCTCTGTGCTTGGCTGGAGCAAACAGCTTGAGCCAAGGCTAGATTGTCTACCTTGCAAGGCAGGGCTTGCAAGGGAGGTGCAAAGCATCCTGGGATGCTTGAATCTGAAGGGGATCTTGGACAGAAGTTCAATAAACCAATTTGCCTAAATCAGTTACGTTTAATACTACATTGATCTAGATTTATCTTAAACTGGTTTTGGCCATTTTGAAAGTGGTTTATGTGCATTGAACTTCTGGCTAGAGACAGACATTACACATAAACCAGTTTAAGTGATCAGACACTGGTTTAAACCTGTAAACTGAACACAGGTGTTCAGTGTAGGGCTGCGTGAAACATCACCGTTTTGTTTTGACTTCCATTTCGCCATTTCGAAGGGACAGTGTTTCCTTTTGACATTTTGTTTAGTTTCGAAGCACTGTTCCATTTAGTTTTGTCAAAACTCTTTTGCTATTTCAACATGTTTTGACATTTCGCCCATAGGCTATAATGGGAAATCACAAAAATGCCTATAACTTTGTCATTTCTTGCCTGATTCAAATGAAAACAGCAGGGAGGGTAGCCCCTGCTGAGGCCACAAAGCCTGTCAAGTTTCAAGGAGATAGGTGTGGGGGTTTCTGGGAAACTGCACCTTGAACTGTTCAGAGGAAAACTCGTGTCACTTGTAAGTGTGAAGTCATAGGGAAGTGAAAACATCAGGCATGGTAGCCCCTGCTGAGGCCATGAAGCCTACCAGGTTTCAAGGAGATGGGTGCAGGGGTTTCTGGGAAACTGTACCTCAAGCTGCTGACAAGCAAAACTCATGACATGTGTGACTTTGCATGTGTGTTAAGGGATGCTGTTACTGGCGCTGGGGCCTCCACATGACACAGTAGTGTGCCCCAATGAGGCCTCTTGCTTCCCTAATAAATTGAAAGGAATAAATTGAAAGGAATGAATAAATATAATAATAAAATAAAAGGGTACAGAAAGCAAAAGGTATTGAATTCCACTTGCTAGTAAGAGGCTAGGAAGTAGGAAGCCTTTCTCTGTGGTTGGTGACCTGCTGAAAGACGCAGCTCAGTAACTGACCCCAAGGCAAAAAGCTCAGTTCAAACGATGATGTTTTTTATGCTGTTTTTCTGTCCCTCCCCCAGCGCACTAGGATTAGAATAGACCTCAAGGAAGGATTACAGTTACAGGCCAGCTACACGTCAGTATCAGAGCAGTTCTTCCCCTCTCTTCCCCCTCCTTCTCCTTAGTTTCTGTTTCCCTGCAAGCAAGCCCACCTTCGAAACTTGAAACATTTCAAAACTTTTAAAATGTTTCGAGTGCCCTCCTTTCATTCCAAGGCTGTTTGGAAGCCTTTCGTTTCATTTCGATGTTACTGTTTCAAGCTCAAAACAAGTTGAAACAGTGTCAAAACAAAACACCTGGTGAAATTTTGCACAGCCCTAATGTTCAGTGCATATAAACCAGTTTGAAAATGGCTGAAAACAGTTTGAGATAAACCTGGTTGAATGTAGTATTAGACTTAACTGATTTGGCTCCAACTGGTTTATGCAATGTCTGTCCCAGACCCTTTGCTGGTTTAAGTTAAATCAGAGTCCCCCAGCATCCCGGTATGCTCTCTGGGCTGGGTGGGGCTCTCTGCTCCACAGCAGGGCTGGCTCCTCTCCTCCGCTCCCTGGCTGGAGCTCGGCACAGACTTTCAGGCACAGCAGGAACTGCTGGCTTCCCCGCCCCTCGCTGCTTAAGCAGAGATCCCTTCCTTCTCTCTGCCACGGCAGAGACTGTAGCTAGTATGTAGTATGCTAGCTAATGCCAAGAGGTGTCTGTGTGTGTGTCTCTCTCCAATTTCACTGGGATTGGCAGACAGTACAGTGACCACTTAGGGCTTTTGCAGCTAATCAACAGGTCAGCCAGTAAGCTGTTTAAGAAGTAATGTGGACAGAGGCTATTGTTTTGCTAATTGGGTGATAAAGACTGTTATCAGCCCCCTGGCCCCCTGCTGGCTTGCTCGCCTGTCAGTTTGCTGCAGACAGTATGACGAAGCAGGGAGGGAGATTGAAAACCTCCATGTCATCAACAGATGCATGCACTGAACACCACCCCACCTTGGCTCAGAGTGCTAGCCCGGGCCCCTGGGACTGGCAACACTCCCACCCCTTGAGCAGCCAGCAGGGAAAAGTCTGGGAACATGCAGGCAGACGTACCTAATGAGAGAGTCCTGCCCGGGCTCAGCTCAGCTCCCTGCAGAAGGGAAGGGAGAGCTGCTGTAGTGCCCCCCAGCTTGTAGCCTGAGCCACTGGAGGCATGTGCCTGAATTTCCTCAGTCCAGAGAGAATGTCTGTCCAGTTTCAAGCCAGTTCAGCCTAGTCAGGTTAGACTAACCTGCAAAGATTGAATCCATTCAGGCTCAGATTTTTTAAATGTCTGTCCCTAGCCCTGGTGTGTTACTGAATTGAATTGTTTCCAATCACTTATACCAGTTCATTTGTAACGCCTGTTCCTAGACTAAATGGCTGACAAGCAGTAATGACTGCTGTCCATTTTGGCTTGGGGTAAATTTGAATTGATGATTTAGAGGTGAAATATTTTCTCTCTCTCTTTCTCAGTGAAAATCTGCAGATCCACCTGGTTACTCAAAGCAAGATGAGAAGTTTTTGTTTTTGTTCTGGTTCTACTGCTTGTGGAGTCATTAGGAATTTCAATGGAACTCAATGCTAGTTTTGTTCACGCAATTAAAAATAAAACAGAGAGCATATGATCCGTTTTTCTTGGCACATGAAACTGTGCTTCTCCATAGGAGTTCAATTAAACCCATTGTTGTGACAGTTCAGGGATTTGGCTAATGAATACAAGCTGTTCAAGCCACAGCTAAAGCTGGTTCTCTCTGTGTGGATGGGAACTAAACCAGCTTTCATATTAAAAGTTGTATTAATAATAGTTTTATAAGGGATAAACACATAACTATTGTGCTTTACAGCCTACTTTTCCTTTCTGTAGGATTGTATTGCTATGGTTTCTCCAGTA